TATTGATTTAAATAACAATCACTTTTGCACATATTACAAACAAAATGGAAAAAAAAAAAAACGAAACTAGTTGCTGCTTAAGGTTTCCTTTACTGGGGTACTAAAAAAAATAGTAATAAAAAAAAATAAAAATCGCTTCTAATATACTATGTCACTGTAAACCAAAAATCTAGGGCTGATATTCTGCTTTTTGTATTGTACAATGTAAAAAAATTAAACCACTTGTGCTCGTTCAATGCATAGAAATGACTTGTATGATGGAGTGCTGTGATCAGGAATCGTGCATGAAGAATAATAAAACACAAAACATCAGTTCTCTGTCCACTGCAGTGGGATAGCCGTAAATTTGAGGCACTCCACTGAATACTGAACACTATATTCACCAATATTTACCAAATCTTTAAACTTTTACACGTCATGGTTAGGGATTAAAGCAAGACAGAAAGATTTGTGTATGTTTATTAATGATTTAAATATCACTTTTGCACATTACAAACAAAATGGAAAAAAAAAAAAAAAAAAAAACGAAACTAGTTGCTGCTTAAGGTTTCCTTTACTGGGGTACTATAAAAATAGGAATAAAAAAATAAAAATCACTTCTAATATTCTACGTCACTGTAAACCAAAATCTAGGGCTGACAACATTCTGCTTTTTGTATTGTACAATGTTTTTAGTCTTCATTCTACAGAGGGCATATATTTAGCAGAAGCAAAGCTGCAATATTTAGAAAAGCCTTTCATTGACAGAGTAAAGATCATGGCGCTGGGATGTGTTTTTTGCAATTTGATTATACTTTTGTATAGGCATTGTTCTCAGAAAATGATTGTTTTGTTTCGCTCGGGACAATTAACAGCTTAGCTTAGTTTCACTTTGTCCTCAACTTTGAGTTGCATTTCTTTTATTTTTGTTTTTTTTTTCTTACAAAAATGTATTTGTCAACATATTTATAGTGGAAAAATTTGACAAATGGTCAGAATAAAAAAGGTATATTTCAAATGATGAGTTTTAGGGTCCCGAAGTGTAACAATGCGTTGTGAGACGAGTTCCAACATTTCATATCATACCAGTGAGGAACATTTTTTTTTTTTTTTTACACTTTTCTTCATTTCATTACATTCGTGTTTTTTTTTTTTTTTTTACTACAAGTATTAACAATGACTAAGAATGTTAGAGACCAGAAAATTAATGTTTTTTTTATTTTAATTTTTAAGTATGGTTTGACACCTGGTTGGTGCTGTAGTAACATTATGCAAAAAAATGAAAGCTTGCAGTTTTTTTCCCTTTCAATTTGCATTTGATACCTCTCTCTCTCTCTCTCTCTCTCTCTCTCTCTCTATACACACTCATTTGATAAGTGATCATTATATCACATTTTGCATTTTTTTAATGCACATTTGTCTGTCACTTGCATGTTTATGCGTTTTTGCAGCTGAGTCCATATTTATACAGACTCACCACCTGTAATTCCCAGGGGGACTATTATTCACCATCACTATTCTATCCTGCTTAGGATTTATAACTTTTTATATTTATTGTATATGGTTTCACATACTGTTTTTTGTTGTGTGGTTGTACGTTTTTCACGTCTTTATTCTTTTGTTGATCCAATTAGGATAGTTTCACGATTGAGATACTTGTTAAAGAACCCATGAGGATCTTATCACGTTTTTTGTTTGCACATTGTGTCACTGCATATGTCTCCACTTTGATATTTATGCGAATTATGGATTGTGAGTAGCACATCATCAGTTTTTATTGCTGTGTTCTGTATGTTATTGTCTCATGGTGCTGAAAATGCTATGGAATCGTGTGGTGTAAATGTGGTTGAAGGAGAAAGCTGTTTTTGGTGTGGACCAAATTATTACCGGATATCTAGCCAACACACAGAATGCATGAAATATACTGTACACTCATTTGTTACTAGTTCATTACGCGATTTTCTGTTAAAACCCACTTTACACATCCAGCCATACCTCTGTGCCAAGAGAAACACTTCCTAGTCAACTCCAAATGCAGTGGCATAGGTGAGCATTAAACTAAGGAAAATCTGGAGGAACAGTTTCTAACTTCATAGCGTGTTTCTATTTCTCTCTATTTACAGCTGAAATAGGATGTATTATATATATCAACTCCATACATGTGTACAGGCGACGTTGTAAACAGCACAAAAAGCTGTTCCAACTTTTTAAGAGGATATTATAAATGCTGTAAAATATTTTGACTTTTGTAAATACTGAAAATATGAAATTAAACAAAATAGCTTCTTGTCATCTTTAGCATTTATTTTCTATTTTTTAAAAAATGCCAGAATGCTTTCTCTCAGATAACACACCAATACGATTATGAGTGGTCTATTCTCATTCCAGTGTGCAATAAATACTGACCACTTCTATACAACATTCGACTAACCTTCATACAAGTATATTTAAGCGGTGACCAGCCAAGTTGTTTTTATATAGCCACTTGCAACAAATTGCTGAGGCTGGTGAGATCACAAAGCTACAATTTTGTAGGGTTTCAAACTCTTTTTAATGAAAGGGTCAGTCTACCCAAAACCGATGTTTCAGTTAAAGTTGGCACCGGATCAAAAAATGGCTTCTTCGGTCTCAAAGGGTCTACTGCTATGTAATCTGCTAACCAGAGGTCTTGGTACAGCCTTAAATGGCAAACTCAATATCACTTCCACATCTCTCCAGATGTTCTATACGACATCATATTCAGCAACATGGAATTACCAATAGTACCATGAACGAAAAAGGCAGGGAAGCTCATATTGTAAAACTGCAAAAAAAAAAAATTAAATATGGAATTTAGCTACTCACAAATAAAAAATGTACGAGCGCTTGTATACGTATAAATACTGGTCCCACGAGACGATCTGGTCCACTTCCTGGTATCAGACCATGTGGTGATGTCATGAATGTAAGCTCTGCTATGGTGTTAGAAATATGAAGGGCCTTCAAAAATTTCAGGAAATCAGATGTGTAATTTATGCCCCTAGAACGCCTGAATGTGCTACTTGGATGTTAGGCCTCTCCTTGTGGCCAGGCTGTGGAAAAGTCTCACATATATGGTATCGCCATACTCAGCAGGAGTAGCAGAATGGATTTTAGGGTGTAATTCTTAGAATGTCCATGCTCTTTGCCAAAAAGATCTTATAAATTGAAAACTCTGTAAAAATACCTTTTCATTTTCTCACCACATTTTCAAAAAACTAACTTGTTCAAAAGACTCATTATGCCTCATAGAATATACATTGCGGTGTTTTCCTTCCAAAAACGTGGTCATTTTGTGGGCGTCTCCATTGTCCTGGTGCTACAGGGCCTTCAAAACTTGTGATAGGTGTTCAGGATGCTGGATGCATAATTTATGCCCCTAAAATGCCTGAAGGTGTTCCTTGGATGTTGGGCCTCTATGTAACTAGGCTGTAAAAAAAAAAAAAAGTCTTGCACATATGTTGTCTGCACATGCTCCGTTTGGTGCATTTTGATATAAAGATATTTTTTTTCTTGGGAGATGCACAGCGGCAATCAGTGCTGTCCAGAAAGGTCAGGGGTCATCTTAGATTGTGAGCTCCAAGGAGCAGAGCCCTCCTAACCCTCTTGTATTGAACTGAAATGTCTCCTGTTATACTGTAAAGCGCTGAACTGTTGCCGATATAAAAACTATATAATAATGCAGACTCATAGGACAGTCAGAAGAATTAAAACTCCTCCTACAAGATTAACCAGTGCTTGGCTGGACACTGATAGAAGTCACAAAACTGCTATATACTGCTAATGAAAAAAAGGTATTTAGCAGGTTATAGTTACTAAAATAATTGTATTTCCATGTTATGTGTACTGTGGGAGAGCACATATAAATAAATGCCGGATCGTGGGTTTAGTAATACTTTAAATGACCTGCAATTCTGTACAATATTTCTGTTATCACTAAAATAAAATATTTTTTATATTCATATATATTTCACGATAAAACATGCCTGGTCCCTCCCTCTCAAATTGCAGCCTGGTGGAAAAAAAAAAAAGTTTATATGCTGTCTGCTGTTCAATATTTCTAGTTTGTCTCTGAAATATATCTTTTTTATTTTATGATACAAAAAAAAAACCTGCATGGTTTCACACTCTAAAACTGGGGTCTACCAAACCTGACATTCACTGTGCATCAGGTCTGTACAAATTTCTGGCTTTTATCCTTCAAATACTCCACATTCATGATAAAACCCACCAACTCGCCCTCTTAAAATTGGAAACTACTAAAGCTGCTGACATTGTGCATCAAAGCTGTACAATAAATCCGATTTTTGTCTGAAAAAAAATACGCTTAGATTTTTTTTGTGGATAAAACCTGCCAGGTCCATCCCTTGTATATGTTTGCACAGTCTGTACAATATTTCTGGCTGTTTTCTGTGAAATACAAAATGTTATGATAAAATCTGCCTGTTATTTTTCCTCTGAAATGAGAGCCTACTAAACCTGCCAGTTTAAAGTTATGGCCTGCACAATATTTCTGGCTGTTGTCTCTGAAATAATGCACTTTACATTTTATTTTACAATGAAGCCTGGCCTCTCCCTCCTATAATGCAGCCTAATCAAACTAATCATATGCTTCCCATGCCTTGTACTATAGGTTCGGCTATTGTCTCTGAAATATAGCACGCTAAAGGCTCATGTACACTGCAGCTGATAAACTCACATTTATGGGATGTTCTGCATTTTTTTTCAGCAGCCCCTCAACTCTCCCTAATATTTTCCTATGTGTCCATGTACACAACGTCATTTACAGGCATTGGAGTTTACAGTTGTTTTTTTTGAACGCAGAAAATTTGCATTGAGTCGATTTTATCAGCCTTTCAAACACAAAACACTTGTAAAAGCAGCTAAACGCGGCAAATCGTGTTTACAAGCGCTCAAGTTTAAACATTTTTTTTTTACTCTTCCAGTTCAAGGTACTCAGATGGACAAAACACTGAACACAGGATGTTCCTACCAAGCTGGTCACACATTGTAATGACCAATTCACACCTCAGACCTCTCCCACCCTTGGAAACAAAAAGATGTGTTAATGACCAATTCACACCTCAAATTCCTCATGAAGACCCCCTGCCAGGTGACCTTACTATCGGCCTGCTACTGTTTCTCGTTATGTTTATATTTTCAATATTTGGAATGTCGAACTTTGCTTACGTAAAGAAAGAAGCCGGGATAGATGACATGTTCAACTTTGAGACTTTTGGCAACAGCACGATTTGTTTATTTCAGATCACTACCTCTGCTGGCTGGGGTGGCTTGTTATTACCCATCTTAAACCGCCCCCCAGACTGATCCTAAGAAGGAGAACCCAGGAAGTCCAATGCAAGGCGATTGTGGAAACCCCTCTGTAGGAATCTTTTTCTTTGTCAGCTATATCATCTCCTCTCCCATAGTGGTAAACATGTAAATTGCTATAATCCTAGAACATTTTAGTGTTACCACAGAAGAGAGCGCAGATCCTCTGAGGATGACTTTGAAACATTCTATGAAATATGGGAGAAATTTGATCCCGATGCCACCCAATTTATCCAGTTCAGTAAACTCTCAGATTTTGCTGATGCCTTGGAGCATCCATTGAGAGTTCCTAAGCCAAACACTATTGAACGTATTGCCATGTATTTGTCTATGGTGAGTGGTGACAGAATCCATTGTTTAGATATCCTCTTGGCCTTTACTACACGTGTACTTGGAGAGAGCGGGGAGCCAGATATGTTGCGGCAGAAAATGGAAGAGCGCTTTGTAGCTTTCAAAAGTGTCTTATGAGCCCATCACCACTACGCTCAGGCGCAAACAGGAGGACGTATCAGCTGTGGTTATACAGCAGGCCTACAGACGCCATTTAACAAAATTAGGTTTTATTTGTAGAAAACCTTCAACTAAAATGGAAAATGGTGGAACAAATAAGGACAGAAAAGAAGGCTCCCCTTCTACAGCACCCCTTCCATCATATGACAGTGTAACTAAGCCTGAAAAAGGAAAAAACAAGAAATACAAGAAGCTATGAGAGAGAGCAAAAAGACAAAAACTCTGTCAGGGAATCCAAGTGTTGGAAAAAATGTTCATATTTCTCACTTGTAAGCAAAGATTGTTTACAAATTTAATAATGACATCAATGCAGATCAGCTATGGAGACACTTATCTGAAGATCAATACATGTACACTCATTTGTTACTAGTTCATTACTCGATTTACTGTTGAAACCAACTTTAACACTTCCAGCCATACCTCTGTGCCAAGAGAAACGCTTCCAGCCATACCTCTGTGCCAAGAGAAACACTTCCAGCCATACCTCTGTGCCAAGAGAAACCCTTCCAGCCATACCTCTGTGCCAAGAGAAACCCTTCCAGCCATACCTCTGTGCCAAGAGAAACACTTCCAGCCATACCTCTGTGCCAAGAGAAACACTTCCAGCCATACCTCTGTGCCAGTGCCAAGAAACACTTCCAGCCATACCTCTGTGCCAAGAGAAACCCTTCCAGCCATACCTCTGTGCCAAGAGAAACCCTTCCAGCCATACCTCTGTGCCAAGAGAAACCCTTCCAGCCATACCTCTGTGCCAAGAGAAACCCTTCCAGCCATACCTCTGTGCCAAGAGAAACCCTTCCAGCCATACCTCTGTGCCAAGAGAAAACACTTCCAGCCATACCTCTGTGCCAAGAGAAAACACTTCCAGCCATACCTCTGTGCCAAGAGAAAAACACTTCCAGCCATACCTCTGTGCCAAGAGAAAACCCTTCCAGCCATACCTCTGTGCCAAGAGAAAACCCTTCCAGCCATACCTCTGTGCCAAGAGAAAACACTTCCTAGTCAACTCCAAATGCAGTGACATAGGTGAGCATTAAATGAAGGAAAATCTGAAGGAGGAACAGTTTAACTTCATAGCATGTTTCTATTTATTTCTCTCCATTTACAGCTGAAATAGGATGTATTATATATATCAACTCCATACATGTGTACAGGCTACGTTGTAAACAGCACAAAAAAAGCTGTTCAACTTTTTAAGAGGATATTATAAATGCTTTAAAATATTTTATATTGACTTTTTTGTAAATACGGAAAATGACAAATTAAACAAAATAGCTTCTTGTCATCTTTAGCATTTATTTTTTAAAAAATGCCAGAATGCTTTATCTCAGATAATACACCAATAAGATTATGAGTGGTCTATTCTCATTCCAGTGTGCAATAAATACTGACCACTTCTATACAACATTCGACTAACCTTCATACAAGTATATTTAACCACTTGCCGACCAGCCACTGTAGAAATACGGAGGCAGGGCGGCACGGCTGGGCAAAAGCAGGTTTTAAAACGTGCGTTTGCAAAACAGGTAAGGGGTGCTGCCGCCCTACCTGCACCGCCGATCCCGGCCGCGGGTGTCAGTCGCCGGGTCACGGGCCGGTCGTTAACGGCTGTGTCCCGCTGATTAGCGGCAATCACTGAGAGCAGGGCTGCAGTAGCTCTGCTTTCTGTCAGTTCCCTGACAGCTCCTGACACGCTGATCAGGAGGGAAGTGTTTAGCTCTCCGGATCAGCATGTCTCCGTGCAGTACACACCCCCGCCCCCTAGTAAAACACTCCCCTCACACAGTTAACCCTTTCAGTGAATAAAAAAGTTAACCCCTTCCTCCCCAGTGCCATTACAGTGTCAGTGTTTTTTTTTTTTTTGCACTGATCACTGTATTGGTGTCACTGGGGATGTCAGTGACCCCAAGTCAGTTCCCCCCCAGTGTCAGAATGTCCACCGCAGTCCGGCAGTCCTGCCATAAGTCGCTGATCGCCGCCATTATTAGAATAAAAAAAAATTTTTAAAATCCAGTATCTTTCCCGCCATTTGTAAACACTAACTTTCACGTAAACCAATTAATTTACACGTATTGGTTTTTTTGTTTTTTTTTAAGCAAAGACATGTCGCAGAATGCATTTTGGTCAAAATTTTACTAAATTTAATTTACATTTTTTTTACTGGACATGTTTTATAACAAAAAGTCCAAAATATTGGGTTTTTTTTGCTCAAAATTGTCAGCTTTTTTTATAGCGCAAAAAATAAAACACTGCACAGGCGATCAAATACCACCGAAAGAAAGATCTATTTGTGTGAAAAAAAGGACATCAATTTAATTTATGTACCGTATTGCATGACCGCGCAATTGTCCGTTAAACTAGTGCAGCGCAAAAAAAATGGCGTAAATTGCAGTATCTATCCCATAGTTTGTAGACGCTATAACTTTCACACAAAGCAATCAATATACACTTATTGGGATATGTTTTACCACAAACATGGAGCAGAATACATTTTGGCCTAAATTTATAACCAACTTTGAGTTTACTATATATATTTTTTATAGCTGAAAGTAAAAAGTATCGTTTTTTCTTCAAATATTTTGGCCTTTTTTTGTTTATAGCGTGAAAAAATAAAAAGCGCACAGGTGATCAAATACCACCGAAAGAAAGCTCTATTTGTGTGAACAAAAGGACGTAAATTTCATTTGGGCGCAGCATTGCATGACCGTGCAATTATCAGTTGAATTAGTGCAGCGCCGAGTAGCAAAAAGAGGCGTGGTCATTAAGGGGGGTAAATCCTCAGGAGGGGGAGTGGTTAAGCGGTGACAAGCCAAGTTGTTTTTCTATAGCCACTTGCAACAAATTGCTGAGGCTGGTGAGATCACAAAGCTACAATTTTGTAGGGTTTCAAACTTCATTTTTAATGAAAGGGTCAGTCTACCCAAAACCGATGTTTCAGTTAAAGTTGGCTCCGGATCAAACAATGGCATCTTCGGTCTCTAATGCAGGCCATAGATGGGTCGAAAATCGGCCGATTTTTCTTTTAAAAAAACGAACAATCGGTCGTTCAAGTGGCCGACGTTACCACCAATGGTAAAAAAAAAATCGGCCGATTTTCATCCTTTCTACAGCCGGCAAAAAGTGTCCCTGCAGAGAGCTCTGCTATTTCTGACAGTTCTCTGACAGTTCCTTGACATTTACAGCGGTTGCAACATTGTATCTATTTGTTTCCATTTAGGATACAGATGTTTTTATTCGGAAACAAATAGATACAATGTTGCAACCGCTGTAAATGTCAAGGAACTGTCAGAGAACTGTCAAGGAACTGTCAGAGAACTGTCAAAGAAATAGCGGAGCTCTCTGCAGAGACACTTTTTGCTGGACTGGAATTCCTCTTATTTTCATCCTACTTATTCTTCTTTTTCATCCTCATCCTCTTCTTCATCCTCATCCTCTTCTTCATCATCCTCATCTTCTTCATCCTCATCTTCTTCATCCTCATCCTCTTCATCATCCTCATCATCTTCTTCATCCTCATCATCTTCTTCATCCTCATCATCTTCTTCATCCTCATCCTCTTCTTCTTCATCCTCATCCTCTTCTTCTTCATCCTCATCCTCTTCTTCATCCTCTTCTTCTTCATCTCTTCTTCTTTCATCCTCTTCTTCTTCATCCTCTTCTTCTTTTCTTCTTCATCTTCTTCATCCTCTTCTTCTTCATCCTCATCTTATTCATCCTCTCTTCTTCGTCATCCTCTTCTTCGTCATCCTCATCCTCTTCTTATTCATCCTCATCCTCTTCATCCTCGTCTTCTTCATCCTCATCCTCTTCTTCTTCATCATCCTCATCTTCATCCTCTTCTTCATCATCCTCATCTTCTTCATCATCATCCTCTTCTTCGTCCTCATCCTCATCTTCTTCATCCTTTTCTTCTTCATCATCCTCTTTTTCTTCATCATCCTCATCCTCTTCTTCCTCATCATCCTCTTCTTCCTCATCATCCTCTTCTTCATCATCTTCATCATCCTCTTCTTCATCATCCTCTTCATCCTCATCCTTTTCTTCTTCATCCTCTTCTTCTTCATCCTCATCATCTTCTTCATCCTCATCTTCTTCTTATTATTCGTCCTCATCCTCTTCTTCGTCCTCATCCTTTTCTTCATCCTCATCTTCGTCCTCATCATCATCCTCTTCTTCATCTTCATCCTCTTCTTCGTCCTCATCCTTTTCTTCTTCTTCGTCCTCATCCTCTTCTTCGTCCTCATCCTCTTCTTCGTCCTCATCTTCTTCTTCGTCCTCATCCTCTTCTTCTTCATCCTCATCTTCTTCTTCTTTATCCTCATCTTCATCTTCTTTATCCTCATCCTCTTCTTCATCCTCATCTTCTTCTTCTTCATCCTCTTCTTCATCCTCTTCCTCTTCTTCTTTTTGTCTTCCTCTTGCAGGTCACTGCTCATGCGCAGATTTTTTATCGGTAAAAAAATCGGCCGATTAGCCCATTATTGCCGCGAAAATCGTCCGATTTTTTTCCAACTTTACCAAAAAAAAAAAAAACGGCCAAAATCCCGAAAAACGGCCGAACAAATAGCCCACTAATAACGATCCGAAAATCGGCCGATTTTATTTTCGGCCGAAAAATCGGCCGATTTTCGACCCATCTATGGCCTGCATAAGTGTCTGCTGCTATGTAATCTGCTAACCAGAGGTCTGGGTACAGCCTTAATGGCAAACTCAGTATCACTTCCACACATCTCTCCAGATGTTCTATATGACATCATATTCAGCAACGTGGAATTACCAATAGTACCATGAACGAAAAAGGCAGGGAAGCTCATTGTAAAACCGTTAAAAAAAAAAAAAAATTTAAATATGCAATTTTGCCACTCAAAAATAAAAAACATGTACGAGCGCTTGCATACATATAAATACTGGTCCACTTCCTGGTATCAGACCGCGTGGTGATGTCACGAATGTAAGCTCAGCTATGGTGTAAGAAATATGAAGGGCCTTCAAAAAAATGATAGGCTGTCAGGAAATCAGATGTGTAATTTATGCCCCTAGAACGCCTGAACGTGCTACTTGGATGTTAGGCCTCTCTATGTGGCCAGGCTGTGGAAGTCTCATATATGGTATCGCCATACTCAGGAGTAGCAGAATGGATTTTGGGGTGTAATTCTTAGAATGTCCATGCTCTTTGCCAGAAAGATCTTATAAATTGAAAACTGTGTAAAAATACCTTTTCATTTTCAAAAAACTAACTTGTTCAAAAAACTCATTATGCCTCATAGAATATACATTGCGGTGTTTGCCTTCCAAAACGTGGTCATTTTGTGGGTGTCTCCATTGTCCTGGTGCTACAGAGCCTTCAAACTTGTGATAGGTGGTCAGGATGCTGGATGTGTAATTTATGCCCCTAAAATGCCTGAAGGTGTTCCTTGGATGTTGGGCCTCTCTATGTAACTAGGCTGTAAAAATAAAGTCTTGCACATATGTTGTCTGCATATGCTCCGTTTGGTGTGTTTTGCTATAAAAGTTATTTTTTTTCTTGGGAGTTGCACAGCGGCAATCAGTGCTGTCCAGAAAGAAGGTCAGGGGTCATCTTAGATTGTAAGCTCCAAGGAGCAGGGCCCTCCTAACCCTCTTGTATTGAACTGAATTGTCTCCTGTTATACTGTAAAGCGCTGAACTGTTGCCGATATAAAAACTATAATAATAATAATAATAATAATAATAATAAATAATAATAATGCAGACTCAAAGGACAGTCAGGAGAATCAAAACTCCTCCTACAAGATTAACCAGTGCTCGGCTGGACACTGATAGAAATCACAAAACTGCTATATACTGCTGATGAAAGAAAAAAAAAAAAAGTATTTAGCAGTTTATAGTTACTAAAATAATTGTATTTCCATGTTATGTTTACTGTGGGAGAGCACATAATAAATGCAGGGTCGTGGGTTTAGTAACACTTTAAATAACCTGCAATTGTGTACAATATTTCTGTTATCACTAAAATATATATATTTTTTTATATTCATATATTTCACGATAAAAACATGCCTGGTCCCTCCTCAAATTGCAGACTGGTGAAAAAAAAAAAAAAAAAAAAGTTTATATGCTGTCTGCTGTTCAATATTTCTAGTTTGTCTCTGAAATAATATATCTTTTTTTATTTTATGATACAAAAAACCTGCATAGTTTCACACTAAAACTGGGGCCTACCAAACCTCCTGACATTCACTGTGCATCAGGTCTGTACGAATTTCTGGCTTTTATCCTTCAAATACTCCTCATTCATTATAAAACCCACCAACTCTCCCTCTTAAAAATCGGAAACTACTAAAGCTGCTTCATCAAAGCTTTACAATAAATCTGATTTTTGTCAGAAAAAAAAATAGGCTTGCATTTTTTTTTTGGTGGATAAAACCTGCCAGGCCCAACCCCCGTATGTTTGCACAGTGTATAGAGTCTGTACAATATTTCTGGCTGTATTCTGTGAAATACAAAATCTTATGTTATGATAAAATCTGCCTGTTATTTTTCCTCTGAAATCAGGGCCTACTAACACTGCCAGTTTTATGTGATGGTCTGCACAATATTTCTGGCTGTTGTCTCTGAAATAATGCACTTTACATTTTATATCACGACAAAGCCTGGCCTCTCCCTCCTATAATGCAGCCTAATCAAATCATATGCTTCCCATCCCTTGTACTATAGGTTCGGCTATTGTCTCTGAAATATAGCACGCTAAAGGCTCATGTACACTGCAGCTACTAAAAGCACGTTTATGAGATGTTCTGCATTTTTTTCAGCAGCCCCTGAACTCTCCCTAATGGTTTTCCAATGTGTCCGTGTACACCGCTCCGTTTACAGGCATTGGAGTTTACAGTTGTTTTTTTGAACGCAGAAAACTTTCGTTCAGCAGTCAATTTTATCAGCGTTTCAAACGCAAAACGCTTGTAAAAGCAGCTAAACACGGCAATTCGTGTTTACAAGCGCTCAAGGTTGAAATTTTTTTTTTTTAACTCTTCCAGTTCCTGATGCTATCCAAAGCCTTTTTTTCCATCATGAAAGATGCATGCAAAGCATTTTCAAGGTACTCAGATGGACAAAACACTGAGCACAGGATGTTCCCACCAAGCTCAGCACACATTGTAATGACCGTTTCACACCTCAGACCTCTCCCACCCTTGGAAACAAGATATGTTAATGACCATTCACACCTCAAATTCCTCATTAAGACCCCTGCCAGGTGCCCTTGATGACTCTGGCCACCAGACACCTTTCCCACCCTTGGAAACAAAAGAAATGTTAATGAGCAACTCACACCTAAGCTAATCTCCACACATACTGCTGTCTCTGCTTCTACTCTGTATTTCTCTGAAACAGTCTGAAATAGTTCATAATTTACCACTTTTCAGTACATTCTGAGCATTTGGAAGGTTCCAGTAGTCAGTTTCCAGAAGTTCAGAAGTGTCCCGTGTACATGGGGCCTAACTTTTATTTTAAAGTGTCTCATCTGTGAAACGCGGGTTTGTTAGACATGCATTTCTGCAATTCTGTCTCAGTGTTACAATACAATTTTCAGACCGACTATTTCTTTGCGAGGGCAAACATTCAACATCAGCCGGGGAGCAAATACGCATTTAATTCACTATATATGAAATGCCTCCAAAAATGTAATGTCCTGATGGGTCAGAAATCAAAATCTTCAAGTCACCTCCCAACTATGTGATATAAAAGATTGGTGTTTTCCCATGTTATCCACATAAAAGGTCCCATAAAAAAAAAAAAAAAAAAAAGAGAACCTTCATGTCTTTATATTTGTTTTCGTATTGGTACACATTCACGACAATGCGAAGCTCCCAAAGCCCTTTCTTTGACCATCCCCCATGATCCCTTGGTGCCATAGATTTCATTAGGATTTGGATTAACGTTTGCAATTTTTTTGGACCTTGCAAGGAGTCTGATGGATGGCCTATGGACCGAACACAGACCAATTCGTTCATCTCCACTAGTGCAACGGAAAGATTTTGGAGATTGAACTTTGGATTCAACTTCAGAATTTGAATTGAAACTTTTGAAGACTGTCAAAAAAATAAAAAATCTACAAAAACATCACTGGTATCCAGACAAAAAAAACACCTCTTCGTCAGCCTAACACAGTGATCTCAGAACTGCGGCTCTTTGCTTGCCGATCTGGCCCTCTAGGTACTTTTCCTCTCCCTGACACCAAAGAGGCTCCATTTCTTACACTGGCACCAACAGTGGGGAACCATTCCTCTCTCTGACACCAACGGGGCATATTTCCTTCCACTGACACCAATGATGGGGCACAAATCCTCCCACTAATAAACAATTAGGCACTATCCCTACAACTAACGCCAACGGTGGGGAACTGATCCTCCCACTGACTCCAAACGGTGGGGAACTGATCCTCCCACTGACGCCAAACGGTGGGGAACTGATCCTCCCACTGACGCCAAACGGTGGGGAACTGATCCTCCCACTGACGCCAAACGGTGGGGAACTGATCCTCCCACTGACGCCAAACGGTGGAGAACTGATCCTCCCACTGACGCCAAACGGTGGGGAACTGATCCTCCCACTGACGCCAAACGGTGGGGAACTGATCCTCCCACTGACGCCAAACGGTGGGGAACTGATCCTCCCACTGACGCCAAACGGTGGGGAACTGATCCTCCCACTGACGCCAATGATGGGACACTATTCCTCCCACTGATACCAATGATGGGGCACTATTCCTCCCACTGACACCAATGATGGGACACTATTCCTCCCACTGATACCAATGATGGGGCACTATTCCTCACACTGACACCAATGATGGGGCACTATTCCTTCCACTGTGTAGTGCCTTTTGAAATTATTTATCAAAAACATAACTTTCTTTCAACAGCAAACCAGCCTAGCCGCCTGTTAAGGGTTAACTCTTTTTGGTTGAAATTCAAAGGACCCTCTAGTAAAGACATGCAGATAATGGGTGAAGGGAACTTTTTCCAGAGACAATAGACTGTTTGACTATCTACAGGTGGCCTAAGACCGACAATTCTGAGTAATTTAAACTGGCGACCATGAGACTAACTAAAAAGTGCATATGTCAACAAATACTGTTTGTATATTGGGGTCGGGGAGAATGCATATACAAAAGTTAATTAGACCGTCAAATAAGATGTTAGACCTCTAAACATTGAATCACCACACCAACAAAAGAACAATGATGAGACGGAAACCTAACTGGCTGAAGGTTCACCCAAAACCTTGGAGAGTGTGATGAACAAACAAACTTCTCGAACTGTCACAATATACTATTATCCACTAAGGTTACAAGTATGACTGGTTGTGTACCCTGACTCCTACACAATGGACAGGTAAACAGAGGGTCTTTCCTACTCATGGGAATTTTTTTTTTCTAAAACAAAAAGGTTAAACTTAGGACATAGAAAGCTAAGAACTGGATATATCTACCCACAGAGACATTATCAAAAAGCATATTATCAATGGGATGTTATAAAGAGTATGTTTCACACACAAAAATATATTCAGCAGTGTTGAGGATGGTATACCACTAAATTGAGTATGAAATGATGAAAAGAAAGATATATTGTGAATTAGCATCAGTTGTATGTTGTATCAGAAAACAAGTGCTTTCACACAAGTTTGTATCTCAGGGAAATGAATAACTGAATATACATATATCTTTAATAGTCCTATCCAGAACATTATAGGTATAATCAAATATATATTTGGATGAGACGTATATTTAATACCTGAAATCACCTTGAATTCCACCTGAGGTGTGAGTCATCATCAATACTCAAATTGTTCTATGGTACATGACTGCCATCTGGCGGACAGGTGAGAGATAGCTTAGGTACATACACTTCTCGACCGGCCAATCAAAAGCCTGTTGGGAGGGTCTCTTAGAACAATAGTTTAGATGGTATAAAAAGCCATGCACCACATTTAAAAAAAAAAACCTGGAAAAGAAAAACTCACTAAAAAAAAAAAAACCCCTCACTGAAAACTGACTAGGCTGAAATCCATCTCTGCTGAATAACCCCTCTTTCATCCTTTCAAACTGTTTAAACTTTCTACTAAACTTCTAAACCTCTGAATCTCTACTATACTACATATCCATCACTTGTCCCTGTGGCCATCATTCTGAAGGCGTTCCATTGCCAGCTGGATCCACTGGGAAGGTGTCATAGTCCAAATTCTGGTGTGTGGTGAGACTGTCCATCTAATTTTGTATTGCATATTTTTCCTCTTGTTGTTTAGAGTGATAAGAATTACCTTAGAGTGATAACAACTGCATTGGTGTGTTCACACATATATAGAGAGAGATCCTGTATTACTGTTAGATATTGTTGGTGTCATATTGCAAATTTTTCATATTTCATAAATTATTAATTTTTATTAGTTAGAGTATAATTTATCAGGGAATATTTTCTCCCATTCCTATGGCCACGTTATGTGAGAAAATGACCTCTGAGATACTCTAAATTATCAGTTATTACTAAATTTAAATTTTAATCTTTATCATCATTAGAAAAATTGTTATCTTGTTTTTCATTATTTAGAAACATTGTATCGTGTATGATATTGGTATAGTATATCTTTGATTGTGTGTACCAGTATTCATTCATCACCAGTCTTTTGCGTTTTGTGTTTATATATATATAATTTTTGTACATAAATACATTTTTATATTTATCTATTATAAGGCAAATTTTGTGTGTATGGTACGAAATCATACTGGCTAAAAGGATTCAAGGTCTAATAAGTGGTGATCAAATTATCAAGGTGTCCAAATTATTGGTTCATTAAATATTTGCCGTATTTTAACGGCTGGAGGCACTGTAATATTTCATCTAAGGGAAAGGGACACCGCCCTTCATAAGTAGAATAAATCCTTACATAAACCACCACAACTGACACCAATGATGGGACATTATTCCTTCTACTGACACCAATGATGGGACATTATTCCTTCTACTGACACCAATGATGGGGCACTATTCCTCACACTGATACCAATGATGGGGCACTATTCCTCCCACTGACACCAATGATGGGGCACTATTCCTCCCCACTGATACAATAATGGGGCACTATTACTCCCACTGACACCAACGATGGGGCACTATTCCCCCCACTGACACCAACAATGGGACACTATTCCTCCCTGTAATAAATCTAAATTATGATTCGGCACTTATATTGATGGCAAGCTTGCAAAATATTTGGTTTTTATGATTAGTCATAATTAATATTAATATGTGTAAGTGGTCTATTGACAAATGGTAGTATTAGTATTCAATTAAACTGAGACTGAAAAAGATATGAATAAGTCAAGCTGAGACAGTAAAATAAGACAGAAGTAAGCTCAATCAGTTGAAGGCTGAGTATACTATATTTAGGCTGGTAGTTATGTCGAGGTTATTAGAAGTGACTTACTATTACATTATGTATTTTAATAGTATTTGTGTGTATTTAGTATACGTCTCTCTAACATTGATACATATATAGTTTAGTGATTATACATTGATATGTTCTTAAGCTATACTATTCTTTAAATATATAGCTGAGGGTTACGTCATTAGTACATCAGCATACATATGTTCCTGTCCATCAAACATCATATGTATAGCATCCCTTCCTTATATGAAATGGCTTTGCTAAGCAGTAATAATTTCCATAGAAGGTATTAAGATCACTAACTATGATGTACATTTGCCTCATAAAAGACCATCAGATAACGGACAAGGAGGAACGCTCACTCGGTCACACTCACACACTAATATTGACACTTTGACATACACGTACACACACGGATGAGATGCTGGAACAGGTGCTGCAAGACAAGAGATCATCATTAACGTCACGTCCGGCTTTTTCTTTCTCGGACTCTGTGTTGGAGAAGGACATGAGAATCGCACATGGCAAGGACAGCCATGACAGATAATGGTGACTTTGTTTTAAACGTTTGCTTGTCATTTTTACAGTCGTATTATCTACATGGAACTGTTCATAATACGTTTTACATTGTTATTTTACACCATTGTGTGATAGAATAAAATCACACTTCATTTTTTATTTCAATGGCTCTTTCATTCATAATCGCCTCAAGACACTAGAAGAAGTATTTATATGTGTCAAAAATCCAACATTTTGGCGAGCCAGCCACCGCCGAAGTTTTTTCTACGGTTTTTTCCCATACCTTGCTAAGGGGGAAAAACGCACAATTCTGTGATTGTCAAGTCTTGGGAAAAACATGGTGAAAAGAACCTAGAAGAAAAGGCGATTAAACAGACGTGGACGAG